GGGACTATATAGAGAAAAGTCTCCCTACCTTTTCTTGCTCCATGAATGAATAGATGACTCCACGTGTGGAACCTCTCACAGGGGAGTGAGACAGAAATAAAATAGTTAATTGGTGATCTCTTAAGTTTTTAAAACAGCAAGTCAACAAACAGCATATTGATACCGAAATTCTCTTATTGGAACACCTCCTCCTCAACTGAAAGCTATTTATTAAATCAGTTGGTATAATAGGCAGAAAGGTAACATGTTTGGAGATTTTCTGTTACAACTACAGAAGTAAAAAAAAATGCTGTGTTCAATAAATAGTAATCAAATGTTTGCTTTTCAGTTCTGAAATGTCTCCAAGCAAGATACGCAGGGAACGTGTTCTACACCAATGCTGGCTGCAGTCTCGTGACTGTAAATCCATTTCAACCCATCTCTTCCCTCTATTCTCCCGAGCTTATGAAGGAGTATCATGCCGCGCTTCGCCCTCAGGTACTGGGTGCATTTGAAGCCGCTGTTCTTCTACATCTACAAAGTGAAACAAGCCATAAAGTTTTCCCAATCTGCACTGATAAAGAAAGCCTGCATTGTCAGAACCACTTCTGGCAGCACAAGTGGCTGTATTTAGTAGAGCGGTGGTGCTGGATTTGTTTTTACCTATGTGGGGGAGGTTTTTTCCATCTGTGTGACAGGTTCTCTCTCATATTTGGATGAGCTTCTGTCAGCGTATTGAGTTTTATAAAGGTAAAATAATTGTAGGTAAAAGGAAAGACTCGATTGATATTTTTGTACTCAAATCAATTAGGGGAGAAGATAGTAAATTCCAGTGACTAAGCACGAGGCTTGGAGCCAAAGCCTCCTAAGTTCCCGTTCTTGTTGTCTGACCTTGAGCAGGCTACACAAGGTTTGTGCCTCTTTCCCAGGCCTACGTTATATGTCCCTAACTTCTGCAGAGCTAAGGATAAATGACAGACTTTTGGGGGGTTAAAGCAGTAGCTGTCTTCTCCAACGGCGCATATGTTCTGTTAATTCCTAGGAGTTGAAACCTCACGTCTTTGCTGTGGCTGAACAGACCTACCGAAACGTCCAAAGCCAGATAGAACCCGTGAACCAGTCTATAATTGTCAGTGGAGAAAGTGGTGCAGGGAAGGTCTTTCCCTCCCTGCCTTTTATAACCCGGTTATTAACTTTTACATCGCTAGTATGTTTTGAGACTTCAGTGGGGCACAAAGCATTTCAGCTAGCCTCGGATCAAGAGGCGGGAAAAAAAAATCCCATCACGAAAATCACTATATAAAGCAACTAATAACCTTAAGCTGTTATAGTAATTTTGGTGGGATAATACAATATCGTGCAATGATATGAGACTCAAAAATGCTGCACTCAGTAAAATTCCTGCTAGGACCCTATCTGCAGTTCTTGGTAGAGTAAAACTCCACTTAGTAAACAGGAATTGTACTCAAGTTAATGATTGCTGAACCTGGCCGGCCAGGACTAGGTGTGGGTCTTGCTGCAAATATAAATGCCCACAAGACTAGTGATAGTTCAGCTCCTAATTTTGGTTCCCATTCATCAACCCACCCATTTTCAGCAGAGCACTTAAGCATGGGCTTAACTGGAGGCACGAAGTGCTTGCTGACTTGGGGTCTTAATGGCTCACAGTCAGTCCATCTTAATATGACTGTCTGTTTACTCAGCAATGTTTATGAAAAGCTTTATCCCATAAGACCCCAATTCAGCAAAGCACTTAAAGTGCCATGCAGAGAGCTCCCATAAGCCAGAACCAGAAGCAATGTAGCAGCTCGAGCCTGGGTTAGCTCTGCAGAATACTTCTGTACATTATATAGATATATCCACGCACATGTATTTTAAATGTCATTGATTGCAATGATGCTTAAGCACACCTTTAAAAGTGCTTCGCTGAATCGAGGCCAGAAAATGGAAATGACTGGTTTTTTCTAGGGGTGTACCAACAAAGACTTTTTGGGCCAAAACCGATGGCCGACTATTAGCGAGCCATATTGGCAGATCCTGCACACAGCCACAGCATGCACATGGCCAGGTATGCAGCCTTGCAGCTCAGAGAGCAGCATCTGGCTGGTAAGTCTGTTGTGGGGGGGAGAGGGAAGGGGAGCGGGGGCAGATAGAGGCCCCTGTGGTGAGGGAGGGAGTGGGGCTGGGGTAGGATTAGCTGTTGCCCAGCTGGGGCGGGGTGTGGGATGGAGTCGCGAGCAGCTTGTTCAGGGGGGCATGGGGAGGAGGGGCAGATCCTGCTGCTGCACACATGCCCGGGGAAGCTATGGGAGGCATGTGCCCCCTGGATCTGTGCACGGGGCAAGGGCAGGCTGCCACTGCAGGCTGGGGCGGGGGTGGCACTGGGCTCTTCCAGGCAGGGGGGCTGGGCCAGGGCAGCACTCAGGGCAGGTGGCAATGGCGTTGGGGTGGGAGGCACTACAGGGTGGGCTATAGCCACCCCAAAATTTGCCATAGCCCACCCCCCTCCAGCACCACAGCCACCCGGCCCAAGTGCAACCCTGGCCCAGACCCACCCCCTCTGCCGGGAAGAGCCCAGCGCCTCCCCCAGCCCACAACGGCAGCCCACCTTGGCCCCACACACAGATCCAGGGGGCACACACCCCCCATGGCTTCCCTGGGGATGCACACAGCAATGGGAGCCACCCCACACCCCCTAGACGAGCCGCTCGCAGCTCCATCCCATGCCCCGCCCCAGCTGGGTAGCGCCTGCTCCTGCCCCAGCCACACTCCCTCCCTCACCACAGGAGCCTCAGTCTGCGCCCCCTTCCCCACGCCCCTTCCCCTGCAACAGACTTACTAGCTGGACGCTGCTCTCCAAGCTGTCGGGCTGGCCACGTGCATGCTGTGGCTATGTGCAGGTGCCCAGCATTTAATCGGCAACATATCGGCCACATCAGCCAAAAAACGCCAATTGCCGATAACACTGATTTTCCTTTTACTGGTGCCAATACGATATGGACCAATATATCAGTGCACCTCTAGTTTCTTCAACATATTAGGTAGTAACACACTGTAGTTTTCCAACAGCCATGTCTCTTGTTATGAACAGACAATTAATAACGTGGTGAAAGCAGACAAATGCTTATGTGAAACCTCTTTTTCAGACTTGGACATCCCGATGCCTTATGAAATTTTATGCCACTGTTGCCGCTTCAACCACTTCCCCTAAAGGCAATGAAATGGTGGAAAGGATCGAGAGGAGAGTACTTGACTCGAACCCTGTTATGGAGGCTTTTGGTAAAAAGGAATTGTCTGTTGTTTAAAAAAATATTATATATTTTAAAACACATGCAGACCTAAAACTTCTCCCTCTGAAATTCAAAGAGAAATTCACCTCTGAAAAACTTGCATATCCTGTGTAATTATGTTTCCTAAGTAGAAGCGTAAAACCGCTGTGTTTTTTTCATGGTTGGAGAATGATAATGCTTTGTCTGTCCCCACTCCCGGTAACTTCACAGGCAATGCATGTACTCTACGGAATAACAACAGTAGCCGTTTCGGGAAATATATCCAGCTTCAGTTAAACAGGTATTCACAATTATGCAAAATGCTTGAGCTGTCTACTATTTTTCTTTTTCGTTTTTTCATCTGTACAACTTTCACTTCTTGCAAACTTGTCTCACAAGCTTTCCACAGAATATTCGAGTGGAAAATTTTTGTAACATGCTTTGGCCTGTTGAGACTTGAGTTTCCTGGATCTAATTAGTACAGTGTAAACAGTTAACGGACATCTAACTTGGAAACAGAACTTCAGTCCAGATGATATAAATGGGCTACTACTGTGCCGTTGCATGGATAATCATTTTAAGGATCCTATCATAGAAATGTTATACAAGTAACAGCAGAAAGCTTCCATCAGAAGCTTAAAGCATTACTTACAAACGAGGGACCCCTTGTACACTGTGTGACCATGGGGTTTCTGTCTCTAACGGTGCATTTTAAAAAAGTTATAATTTCTCTAGATCACAACATCTGACTAGTGCTTCCATTCAAACTTTTCTACTGGAGAAAACCAGAGTTGCCTATCAGGCCCCTTGCGAAAGGAACTTCCATATCTTTTATCAGGTTTGTACTAGGCTCACTTATCTTTGCATTTCTAAAAATACAGTGGTGATAGACTAGCTAGATCTGGACACAAGATGTACTTGCAACTCTTTGTTTTATTGGCGCTCAGTTTGTTAGCTCAGTTTAATTTTCTGGATCTGTTGTTTGCATCCCACTGAGTGGGAAATTGGAAATACGCTTACCATCCGCTACCAGAAAATGTAAATGCCGGCATTAGGATTCAGCATCTCTTTTGTCTTCTGTTTCAAGATCACAAAAGGTGCAACGAAGAAAGAAAGGGCGGAGTGGAAGCTCCACAAAGGTGCAAACTTCTTCTGGTTGCCAAATCCTGAAAAAGACCTAGAAGGTAACAGCAGATTTTGTTGGTACAAAGCATTGAACTTCTGTACACAAAAAATATTAGTGGTGAATGCATATATGGGCTTGAGACAAATCACATGATCACAAGTTAATCATTTGAGGGGGACTTAAGGCACTGGGATTTGTGTTCCACTTCCACAGCCACCTGCATGATTCTCTGTTTAGACTTAATTTTGCACTGTTGAGACCTTGTTCTTGCCACAGACTAGCATGTCCTGACCCAAGTTATTTGCATTACTTTGAGGTCAAGTTCAGAAACCTGGTGTAATATGTAGGTGTTTTGTCAATTTGCAACCTAAACTCGGTGTCCCACAACAGGTCAATATTTCACTCCATTAAGTCGCTCAGTGGCAGTAACATGACCTCTCTTTTTGGGCTGGCAGCTGGGACTTTTCAAAAGGACACTGCTCGCCTGAGTTCCTTTGAAAATTTCAGCAGAACCGTCTTGCCTTTTTGAAGGGTTGAGAAAGGGCTTGGTTAGCAGTGTTTGGGACCCTGTTTGTAGTGTGATATATAACACCACCCTCTTTGGCTTTTCAGAGGACTGCTTTGGGGTAACCAGAGATGCAATGTTTCACTTGGGCATTGACTGCTCCACACAGAACAACATTTTTAAGGTCAGATACATCTGCTGATTCATTCTGAAGGGGGCAATTGGGATGCTCACCCAATAGGGTCCATTGAAAGTGGCAGCTTTGGTACCATTCGTACTAAACATTGCAGTTTTTACTGGTGCAAAACTGACTTCTAATGGGTCAGAGGGTTTGCCTCCAATTCCTCATTTCTACAGATCACTGCCTTTGATTAACTCTGTTCTACCGGATTCGGTAATCCCTTATCCTTTCCCTTTTGTGTGTCCTTGTGACAAGGCATTTAGCAGAATTTGCAGATTCATTGGAATCTGACAGGCCTCAACGTGAGCACTTGTTTTGACCTTGAACTTGCAACCTCTGGGCTGCCAGCTGTGCACCTCGGCGCCTGCACCACCCCAGCCCTCAGCGGTCACTTATAGAAGAACGTGAAGTTGCAGGTAGAGGTGCTCTCGTTCCCTTATGCAGTCAAAGGGCTCGTTCCTGCTCCCACTGACTACAGTTGTGCAAGATCAAAACCTAAGCTAGTGACTTTAGAAATAAGCATCAGCTTTCTAACCATGTGTCTATCGGTGGAAATGTTTCTGCTGTTGTCCTGTTCATCGGGGATGTGCCATTAGCAATATCGGGTAAATCTCCACTCCAGCACTGAAGTGCCTCTTCATGTTGCAGGTATTGGCAGGGCTTCTGCATCTTGGTAACATTCAGTTCTCCAGTTCCATAGATGAATCTCAGCCTTGTGAGCCAGAAGATGATGCCAAAGGTAAGGTACCAAACAACACAAGCATATATAGCTCTGGTGTTTGCTTTCCAGTGGGAAGGAGCATCGCAGTCTGATGTACTGTACTCTGTCTTTCAACAGAAGACATTAATTGCAGGAGGGAGTGAAGAGAACAGCCACTCAAAAGGAGGGAGGGAGAGGACAGAATGGAGCCTTTCTAAAAACGCCCTAGAGCTTCAAAGTGCTGTACAAGCATACATTTAATCCTCCCTGTCCCTGAGAGATAACATCCTATCTTAGAGATCAGGAGACCTGAATGAATTGCCCAAAGCTACAGAACAAGCTGCTGGCAGGACCAGGATCCTCAGATCTAGTCCTATCCTTACACTGTGGAGCTTTGAAACTCCAGACATACCTGGGCGTGGGGCTTTTGTAGTGTGTATTCGTGCTCAAATAATAAGGTTGTAATTCCACCTTCACATTCTGATCTCAGCAAGCCTGTCAAATTAGCTACCGTCTACAAAAGCAAGGGAAAATATGCAGTATGTTCCTTTTTTCAATAGACGGTTTCTATGACTCAACTCCAGTGAATTCAGACTACCCACAAAAAGTAAAACACTGGCCTAACCAGTAGGGCTTCATACTTCTCTTGCACAATCTCTGACAAAATCAGCCCACTTTCACTCAGGCCCCATACTATTCTAGTTTGTTTCAGTTGGTTTTTTTCTGTGCTTAGTGGGTCTTAAAATGCATTAGGAAATCTTGATGCCACAGTATACCACGAAGATAGCCTATTTTGTTGGTCATGAATGTTCCCTCTCTCCATGGATTTGGAGATCTCTGTGCAGTACAAGCCAGGGCCTCGGTGAAATTGCAAAGCAAATGGACAGGTGTATATTTTAAGAGTTGCAGTTCAGACTTTCAAGAATTGAACTAATTTCGGACAGCTAACTTCATATACTAGAGTTTCTTTCAAAAGATGTTGAGTACCTGTAACTCTGAGGTCACTGAGCACCCAAAATCTGAGGCCCATATTGAGAAATCTTGTCCTGAGCTTAAGAAAGAGAATATCCTATGAAGTCAAACATTTCTTTTTAATTTTGATCTCAGAACAGTGCCTTATCTATAAAATAAGGCATTTACATTTCTAGAAGGAATTTAGATCTTTTTGTTTTTAGTGTTACAAAACTTTGCTTTCTGAACAAGGCTTTGTGAAGACCACAGCAGACTTGCTGAAAATGTCTGCGGAAGAGTTGCTGGAAACACTGAGGATTCGAACTATCACTGCTGGAAAGCAACAACAAGTCTTCAAAAAGCCCTGCTCCAGATCAGACTGTGAGACAAGAAGGGACTGCCTGGCCAAAGTTATCTATGCCAAGTAAGTGCAAACTGTAGTGACAACTGTACACACGTGGGAGAAATGTGTGTGCTGAGGGAGGGGAAGAGGTATATGAAGACAACCTGCTTAGAAGTGCCCGGGGAAGGCCTCCTAGCATGGCTTTGCTCCATCCCAGGCAGTCATTTCCTCCTGCTCTCAGCTGAATGGCTGCTCTCTAGCTTGCCTGCGGCACACACTGGATCTTGGAAAGTTTGCCTTGGGTTGTCTGCGTAGGAACGTTCAATCACTTTTCTTCTGCTTGTGCCAGGTCTAATAGTTCAGGATTTTTTTTTCTCTCCACTAACTAATGTCTGTCCTTCTATATACATGTTTTCTCTAGTGAAAGTACAGCAAGCCGGCCTTTCCACACTCTGGTTACATTCTGCTGACTTCTTCAATTTCATCTGTTCAATTGCATTAAGACAGCTAAAAATAATTACTTTTTCCCTGTTGCAAATTGCTTACACAGGTATTATACCATTAGTGATTGTATAAAGCCCTTCTCCATTGCTAATGCGATTTAAATGCACTTAAAATGCAATTCATGCTACAGAAAAGAAAGGTTTGGAGCCCCTGAGCAACCGCTTCCCATTACAGACTAAAGTGACTGTTAATGTAGCTAATCCTAAACCTTATCCTAAATGAGTAAATATGCAAATTGTCAATCACAGGATTGTTTTATTCAGTGGGAATGAAAATAGCTCATATAGGCAAGATTTGAAATATATTTCTGTCCAGCTACAATAGGTGATGTGTGTTGGGCTGAAATAATCTGAACATGCAGCTCAGCGGCGTGGCACAATTCTCTTTTCGTGCACCTCAAGGACAGCCCGGTCTTTGTGTGTGTACTTGCATCTCCTAAGCAAAGTATGTTCACACCACTGGTTCAGAGCGCTAGGTGTTACTACAGTCTAAAATAAAGAATGGCAAAAGTCCAGATTTTAAAAATAAAATAAAGGAAACTGGCCTATAGGAGTGTTAGGCCAATTCTGCCTTCACACCCTGGGACTCCTCTTTGATTTGGGCTGAGCTGTATGTTGCATAGGAAAAGACAAAGGCAAAATGTGGCCTTCTGTCCTTAATGGAACTGGGCCCTTAAGGGTTAAAGAGGCACTTTTTGTCCAGCTAATCAAAGTTTTTATTATTTTATAGATTGTTTGACTGGTTGGTTTCAGTAATAAATGAAAGCATCTACGCAGATTCTTCCACATGGGGAAATTTTATAGGTAAGGGTTTTATAGTCGCTCTCAAATTCAAGAGTATTAAGTAGCTTTTCCTTCTTTAGATCCAAGCGCTTCAGATCTTATGGATTTTTTTTCCCCTATGTTTTCTAGGGTTATTGGATGTTTATGGATTTGAATCTTTCCCTGAAAACAATCTAGAACAGCTTTGTATTAACTATGCCAATGAAAAACTACAGCAACACTTTGTGGCACACTACCTGAAGGCACAACAGGTACCGTCATTCTGAGATAACAGGCAACACAACTGTATTTCCTCCTAACCCCGGCCCAGGTTTGTTAACTTAGAGTTGTAGCTGTGCATTTCAGGTGGCATCATGTGGCCTTCACTTAGGCAAGTAATTGTGCAGAAACCTGTCCTGATGCTCACGCAAGTACAAATGACTTGAATGAGGATTGCAGAATTGGGCTGCTGTTGGGAAAGAGCATGGAAGGGACCCTTTCCAGAGGAGGGGAAAAAAAAGAGTATTTCAGGGATGCCATGAACGACAGATCGTTCAGAGCACAGCTGCTAAAAGGCATTTGAGTGCAGCCAAACTGGCTGGTCTCCTCTTGCGAGGAGCTCTGCCTGAACAGCAGTGCCCTCAGACATCGGTGCTAAAGCACAGCTTTCCCATCAGCAAGAAAAGGCGCTAAGCACACAGCTGTCTGGATCACCTCTGATTTCAGTTACACTGAAGGCAATTTGCTCAGGCTAAAATTGACCCCAGGGCACAGAGGCCACACAAAAGCCAATAACTAAGGACTTGACCAGTTCATAGTGCCTTGTGTGAGATGTCTGCTCTCTCAAACCCGGCTGCCACTCCACTGTCCTTCAGTACAAATAGCACACTTCGTGCCTGCCCTCTGCTCTTATTAATTGATAACAGTACTTGTAAACTACCAGGAACCACTTTCTCTCTCTGCATTACAGCAACTGGCACAGAAATTAACCTGTGCTTACACAGACATCAAGAAAATGCTTTGAACGTTGCTCAACTTTTGATCCAGTCATTGGTTGATCAAATAACCAAGTGCTAAACCAACTGCTAATTAGTTCCAGTTCTTGATGTTCCGAATACGTCCTAGACAAACGCTTTGAAGTCCATACGGCGCTTGGCACAACAGGGCCCTAGTGAGACTGAAGCCTGTGGATGCTAATGTAATACAAATAAAATATTTAAGTTCCACGTACACTTTGAGTTGCCTTTTAATCCATATCCCCCTTCCCCCCCTACATCTCATCATGCTTCTTTGCCAACATAACTGAGCTGAAAGGACAAATAAAACCCCCAAAAAAGCTTTATAGCATTTTTTAGCAGTGGGAGGATGAATGCTACACATTGCAGGCAGTAGCATTTAAAAAAAAAATCAATCTTAAATATGTTTTGCAGCTTTTTTCAGGCAATAAGGACCTTTTAAGAACACAATTTATACATATGTATAAACTTGACCGTATTTTATATTATAGCAGATATATATAAAATATAGTTCTGTGTGTGTATGCATGTATATACACACATATATATACACACATGCATGCACACACATGTCAACAAGTTATATATATAAAAAAATAAAATATACATGGTAAAGTATTATTTTTAATGCTCTCCAAAGTCATTGCATGCTATGTGCCAGCGTACTAGGGATCAATAGTCAGCTGAGAAGGAAACCAGGTCTTATGTATGCTATTACTTTCCTTTAGACAACTGAAACAATTCTAGCTTGCATCTCCAGCGCCATTTGCTGCCTGCTGCGAGTTGCCACTTGCCCTCTTCCCTTTCTCGCTCTGGCTAGATGCCAACCAGTTTCTATTCCATTAGCGACTCTGCCTGGGTAATTCTCGGCCGCAGACTTTTACAGACGAGAATTCGTTCTGCTTCCGTATCTTCTTTTTCTGTAATAATACAACTGAACTGTGGGCAGTAAAGGAATGAGGTAAAACTGATTCTTACAATCAGGTGATGCTACTGTCATCCACTTCCTCCGGCATTTAGTTTTAAGTATAGCACCATTACCTCGTACGCTTGCCGAAGACTAACTTCTGCTCTGAAGATGCTCGTGTGGGATTTCCTTTCCCCTCAAGGGAGATCCTGCCTGGGCAGTGGAGGTGCAGTTAGGTGAAAACCTGCATTCACTCACTCTGCCAAACATCTGCACAGCTTTTAGGGATAACTGTACAGCTTCCACATGCATTTATTAGATTGCTCGAGGGGATTCAGGTCTCCTTCGATGGACCTTCCAAACGGCTGTGTTTCTGCAAGTGATAACCCCCCTGCAGGCTCTCTATTAGGATGAGTAAGGCTATATAAACTGAGTTGTGCTTTCTAAAGAAAACAAGAAGCCAAGGTGAGAGACTGTTTGTTTTTCCCTGGATCACATTCTCTGGATTTCTCTTTCATGCATTAGGAAGAATATGCGGCAGAAGGTCTCGAGTGGTCTTTTATAAACTACCAGGATAACCAGAGCTGTCTAGACCTGATAGAAGGAAGCCCTGTCAGCATCTTTTCATTGCTCAATGAGGTAAGTTTAAGGGCTGAACTTTAACCACTGCCATCTTCTCTCTCTAACCACCACAGAAGAAATGTTAGTGTTATATTCTGTTTAGTATGAAAGCATCCCAAGAGGATCATGGCAGTAAATTAATGGCAAAACAGCATATTTGTATCACGTTATAGGTATGTGCATAACACTGATTTATCTCCTTTCCACTTGATGCTGCACATATAGATGGCTTCAAGCATGAAACCCCATTACATTTTCAAAGGCAATCAGGACTCGTAGTAGAGATGATATCCTTTATTAAACCAACAGGATTTTTGGAAAAAAAAAAATGTCTTTAATTGCAAGCTTTCGGGCTTGCAAGTAAAGACATTTTTTTGCCAAAATCTTGTCGGTCTAATAAAAGATACAATCTCTGCTATGAGTCCTGATTGCCTTTTCCTCTAGACCAATACGGCTACAACCTGGATACCATTACATTCTTACTTACGCTTCATAATACTTTCCAGTGCTTGGCATACTGAGATCTCAGGATATTTGACTTCTAAGTAAGCCATCGCAAAAGGATTTTAATAGTTTGCTTGCTTGCTGCGTATAGGAGACGATACTGCAATTCTGCCTTGTTTTCATCATACAGGAGTGTCGTCTGAACAGGTCCTCCAACGTCAGCCTGTTCCAAACCCGGATTGAAAAAACCCTGTCAGATAATGAATGTATAAGTCGGGACAAGTTTAGCAAGAAGCCCAACTTCATTATTTCCCATTATGCTGGCAAAGTCTGTTACCAGGTAGAAGGCATGGTGGAGAAAAACAAGGTACGTTTATAAAAACCAAACCAACCAGCTGAAAAAGAGGCATGTGGCTCTTATTAGAAGAGAATCAGAAATTCTGAAAATAGTCTCGCTAACAGACTGAACGAACATTGGCATTACAAATTGTGTGGGTCGATGGCCTCCAATATGACATTTCATCAGGAGTATTACATTCAGACTTCAACTTGCATACACTATGGGAAAGAGCAGCATGGACTTACCTTTGGTTTATCACTAGTGTCAGGGTCCCCAGAGGCATTAGGCCTAGTGGCTAGAGCTGGAGGGGATGTTGCCCATGTCTGTCGTCAGGGGGCAAGGCGCAGTCAAACTGGGGCTCCAGAGTTCAGGAGCTGGGTACACAGGCGGGGATGCAGGACCGGGGAAGTCGCACAGACAAGAGCTACTCACAGAGGCCTTACAACTAGTATCGCACACAACCTCTGGGGGTCTGCAGACTATGTCGAAGGGGTTCGTGAAAGATGACTGCGATCAATCAAAAGTACGCGAATACCCACACGCTTACAATCCAAAGGGGTCCGCACCTGCGTTCAAATGCTTTTGAACTAGTGTGTGTATAACTCGTATCACACGCAGGAAGGAAGCGAGATGATCTGTGAACACTGGAATCAATTTTGTGTTGTGTCAGCTCTTAGGATGCGAGTCATTTTGCCGGGAATTATTACAAGTAATGTCATGTGAAAGACCATCTCTAAACACCAGAAGGGGGTCTGATGTCCACTACAGAGACTGCCCTCCCAACAGTTAACTAGCCCTAGGGCTACTAACTCAACTAAACTACAGATCATGTCATTTTCTCATCATGCAATTCCTAAGGGGAAAAAAAATGCTAGCAGTAATCACGGATTTGACCAGATACGGTAGTCGGTAACACTGAACACTTTCCTCTATTCCTGAACCCATTAATCAATGTACATGGTCAGATTTGAAATGCTCTAAACCATGGTTACTGCTTTCAAGTAATAATGCTGAGACCAACTTACCTTATTTCTTAGCTCGTGAAATGTGAATATCCAGTTATACAAGGGTGCCAGGTTTCTGGATGGTTGGACCTATCCATTTATCTTTGACTACTACTAATGCTCCTGTTTGTCTACGCAGGACCCGATTCCACCGGAGTTAATTCAGCTTCTGCAGACGTCCCAGGACTCTCTGCTTCAGACGCTGTTTCCCAGGACGGAGGAAAGCCAAAACCACGTCAAAACCCAGAACAGAGCAGCCATTGTTACAGTGGTCTCAAAGTTCAAGGTATGTCCCGTTCATGCTTCTGTTTCTATTTAGCTCTCATTTCCTTGTCTGACTTAGGCAAGTGCTTTTCCACTGCTGCCTTCAAGTCATTTTATAGTAAAATTGTTCCACTTATTTTCTGACTTTAAACTAAATACCATTTAATAGTCGAGTATCAAACTGGAGTAGCTTCATAGGCTTCAGTGAGGTTTCCTGGACTTAAACGATTGAGCCAAGAGTAGCATTTGGCCTACAAAGTTCCTGTCATACTTTCTAACCTCGATCTTGTGGCCATGTGCCAAACTCTCCCTCCACATCCTCACAGTTGGCTTTCTCTGAAAGAAATGGATCTTGTCCAGGCTTCTCCAGTACCCCCCTCCTCTGCCCTGCTGCCTGGACTGGAATAGCTTTAACTCCAATTCCCACTTATTTGGAAAGCTACCTTTTCTTTAAAAATACCCCAAAAAGTACTAATCGGCTAAACTACCGTGGAGGAAGAGAAGGGTGGAAACACCACACAGACACCAATTACTCCCATTTTGTTTTCGTAGGGGTCACTTGAACGCCTGATGCAGATTTTAAATAGCACTACGCCTCATTACATCAGATGCATCAAGCCGAACGCTGACTGCAAGGCAATGACTTTTAAAAAAGAAGAGGTAACTCTACAGAGGCTTTTTTCCTCAGCGCTGGGAGGCTTTCTGGAGATTTCACAAAAGGCCCTGTGCGGTCGGGAGCAGCTTTTAAAGCACTTTTCATAGCAGATCTCTCACTTCTTAAAGGAACCTCTCGAGATAAATTTCCCAGTGCTGCAGTAGATGATACTTCTCTAAACAGGGGGGTGGTATCTTCATTAAAGATCAGCAGCTTCTGGTGCTGTTGAGACTTGTGTTTGTCAGGTTTGGAGGCGCAGATCACAGGAAGCCGAGTGTGATTCAAGACCAGTCTCAATTTGCAGAGATCACTTTGCAAGGCACCCCTTCATTGAAAAGCTGCCTGGCTTTTGGCCTCTGTGCAGGGAAGTCTGCCCAGCCAGATGAGCTCAGCTGGCACATATGCCGAGGGGACGTTTCTTTGAAAGCAGAGCAGCTCAGGCTAAAATTAAAACCAACTGAGGATCTCACTCAGTTGGGAGGCCACTGTATGGAGCCGTGTTGATTTTTACACCTCCTCAGATTCAGCTTGATCTGTTAACAACAGGGACTCAGAAAATGAGACTCTGGAAAAACCCAGTGTTTGCATGTCTCGAGTTCCCTGGTGCTCTCCATCGGTGTGCCGAGCTGGCAAACCCTTGGTACAGATCACAGGTCAAATTTTTAGCTTGGTTTAGCTCCGATTACCTCGTTCTCAAATGATTTGCAGTTACTGGAATAGGAAGGCTCCAAGTCCTTAAAACTGAGTTTATCCGTAGCTTTTCGTGTGTGTCCTAAATGGTGCAAACCTCTTACCAGCTGCACCCAAACCAAGTTGGAAAAGTGCTTTGAATTTCTGCTGCAGGTTCTCTGTCAACTCGAGGCATGTGGCATAGTAGAAACGATCACTATCAGCGCAGCTGGATTCCCTATTAGGTAAGTCCAGTGAACATTAAGTTGTTCATGATTACTTTTTCTTCATAATAAGCCATAGCTCCTAAGACTTCATAGGCCAGACCTCTTCTGGTGAGATTCCAGCGACTTCCATGAATCTATCGGGCAAACGCTGTTTCTCTGTATTACAACACAGTTGCTGAGCGATGTCTTTGACTACCAGTTACTACTGCAGAGATGGAGGGAGTACATAAGCCTGCATCTGAGTAATTTGTTATTCTGCTTTTGCATTTTATTTAGACATGTACGTCTTGAGATGAGATTTTTCAAAACTGCTGCATTCTTGTGTGTAATAATCCACGCCAAAAACTGGCCTGCCCTCCTTTGCTAAGAGTGAACATGACACACTGCAGCGATTGCTCCAATCGTGAATGTAGTTTATAAAATACACTGTAATACCTTCCCTAGAGTATGTTTCCAATAGTTAAAGAAAAGGAGCGGAACGACTCCACCAGCCCAAGTTTGCAGCAGTTAATCTGCTACTTACATTTCACCAGAAAGGTGATTTTACTGGACACGGTTGACGAGGCAATGACACCACACCCCTGGGAGCTCTGTTCATCAGATCCTAAAACCATTGCATCCTTTTCCTCTTGAGGGGCAGTAAATGGCATTTCTTTACAACTGACTGTTGTTCTGGCTCTCAGGCTCTCCTTCCAAAGTTTCACTGAGCGTTACGAAGTACTGAGAAAATCACGTACGTCAAATAAAAACACAGGACGTGCTGATGAAAATGGTCTCTCTCCTGCCAAGAAGAAAAAAGGTACGCTTCCTTCTCGCCTGTTATGTAAACCCCACACCATGTTTGTCACTACCGTGCAAATCGAACACAGCTACGATGCTGGTGACGTCTAGTCCACGCTGGGGGGAAATGACCAGTTGTTGAGTTTTCAAAGTATTCTCACTGTTTAGCCACTAACTGCACTTTTCACACAGTCTGTTACTTGGGCAGGCTTCATCAAATTGGTTAAATGAAATGACTTCCATGCCATGCTATTTTTCTATAGAAGGTAGCTGCATTTTGTATTTTGACTTGGATACAATGATTAAGTTAATTCTGTTTATTTTATTTTGCTTCTGAATTTTTAAGTTGACTTTGAAACGATTTCGAGTCTTTTTATTTGCTTACCTTCCTTCTTTCTCTCTCTGTTTCTTGTCTCTTGCCAAACGTGCACTTGGCCCTCTAGCTTTACTGGATATTGCTGCCGCTATTCTACTGTTTCTCCTACCTTTTGCACACTTCTCTGTGGGAGTCTTTTTTCAAAGAAACAAGTAAGGATGCGTTTAAAAAATGTAAACAGATTCAAAAGGTAACAGCTTTGGTATGAATTCCTGGTAGGGCAGTTATTAGGAAAACCCCTAATTAATTGTTAACCTTTGGTATTGGATACTGCACATTCATCCATTTTTCCTCTTAATCTAATGTACGGTCCCCTTAACCCAGAGAAAAATGTAATAAGTGATGAAGGGTCAACCAGCGGTGACAAAATCAGCTGGTTTGAAACCAGTTAAGTTCTGGCCAACACTGATCACTTGGTTAAATGCAATAAGAAAATGTAGGCACGAAAAAAAAAATTCAAACCAAAAATCAATTATAAATCTTTTGGGTACTTTTGTGACAAATGGTTCAGGCTGATTGGCTCCTTATCCGACAGGTAACAGGTTAAGAATGAGCGTCGTCATTAGAGACGTACCTGTCTTCCCCCTTTTTTTTTGATAGCTCACTGTAACTCCAATTCTTTGCCGTCTGTATTACACTGGATCTGTTTGTGTCGATCTGTTCGATTCTTAACGGCGTCGCTGCCTCTTCTTAATTATGTTCTGTGTAATAAGTTTTTTTACACTATATCTACACCACAAAATGAAGACATGAGTGCAGCACTTACTAGCCAAGTCTAGCTAGCACGCATACCAATAGCAGCGGTGTGTGGCAGCTGGTTCGGTACGTGCCCAGGATCCCTGGATATATTACATAGCTACATTACACTAGTGCTTGCTACACTCGCCTTCATTTTGCAGTGTAAATTCAGCCAGAGATTTGTAGACAAAATTCTGGATGTTTTTTCCCTGTAGGACTTTTTACTTGATGACTGACTTCTCCCTTCACCATCTTGCATTTTGCAGGTGGGACTGTGATGCCATGTGATGATGAAGCATTGCGCTCTGTCATCCAGGAAGTTCTTCAGGACGTGGTGGGGGCACAACGTGCAGCTTCCCTCAAGCAAACAGAAGCCAAAGCCAACAATTCTTTGGTATATTGTGGCAAAACCAAAGTATTTATGACGAACTCTATGGTAAGTACGTGCACATCCCAATCTCCTGGGCTAAAAACAGAAGGTGCTCATACAAGTGTATACAACCTACTCCCATGGTGATCAGAGACAACTCGTATGGACTTCTCTGGAGTCAAAATGTAGCATCCCAACTCACAATATAAAAAAAAAAAAATCTGCTTATGCCATGCAATAGCAATCCAATAGAAGTAGGAATCGGTCTTAAAGAAAGACTAGTCTCCATAATAAGTAGAGAGACCAGTCTTTCCTACTCACTCATATTGTCTCAACTTCACTAAAAATAGCAAAATATGAAATGGTCTTAAAAAACCTTCAGCAGAAAAGCTCAGTTCCTCCCCTGCAAGTCAAGCCTTTATTCACAAAGTCTGGGCCTGGAGCAGAGGAACAGAAGCATGTGCTTGCATGCTTTACTGACTTAGAGCTAAGCTTATGAAACAGGCAACTGGAGTAACCTCTAAATAGGCCTTGTATTGGTTTTAAATAGAGGGACACTTGCTCTTCCACGCCCAGCTTCCTACCCTTTCACATGTGCACATGCAAAATCCCCATGGATCTGGGTTATAAATGCAGCTGATCCTAAACTTTCAATAAATGTCAATTGCCAACCAGAGGGTTTTTGTTCAACTCAGCTAGAACAACTGGAAGCCAGAAGAGCAGCAGTATTTTCGGAGAAAGCATTTTGCATTCAGTGTTGCTGGAGAAGATTTAAGCAGAGGAAGCTAGCAAAGCAGAGATGGTCTGTTACCGTGATCCAAGCAGGTATGGGTGTGGTGAAGAGTAACTTAACTTGCATTTCCAGTTGGACCAGGTAGAGCGTGGGGGTGGCACAATAACTCAGCACTGACACAAAGATTAACATTCATTGTTGTCCCTCACACCATGAGGCTCTTTCATCATAGGTGTTTTGAGATCCTCTGTTCTCCAATTAAGTCTCCTCTTTTTTTAATTAACCTTCAGCTGTTCGCTCCTGGCTAGCCAAGAAACATTTCCAAAGGATGCGTAGGGCTGCTAGCATTATAAAGCGTGTCTGGAGGAAATGGAAAGTGAGTAATAGCTGCCTCTAGTGTGCGTACGGTTACTTGCTGCTAAGTAGATTTTTTTTTTAATTTCTGTGTATTGTTTAAAAAAAATGCTGCAACTCCCCATTTCTTTCCTTTTATCCCCACAATCTATCTCTGCCATTTCTCTTAACAGAGGAAGGGAAGCCAACTGTGCGCTTGCCTCTATTAGGTCTCTGATGCCTGCTAGAGGAGACCGAGTTTCCTCTGACTGAAGGGTGAAAGAGGGAGACCAGTCTTAAAACCACTACAGTCCTGAGGAGGCTGGGTGTACAGGATCCACCCTTTATTCTCCATTGCACTTAATGGGGAATTTACATGCTCTACCAGCCGCACAAGTTTGTTGAACTTTGCAGAGTTAGCCTGCTTGATGCTGGTCTGTTCACAGACTGCCCATAGCATTTGGGAGGGGTCTCAAAACACAGGGCCACAAGGGTTATTTCTGAACTTTTTGGAATTGCAACTTTCAGTCTCTTAGGATTAATGTTCTGGGTTTCCCTCCAAGGCAAAAATGGCTGCAATAGCTGCAGAAGAGTTGGATGACATCGAAGAAAAACCCATTTCCTCGGTTCCTGGAGCTACTGTTTCCTTAGGCACGTCACCTGGCCCACTGGGAACAACTTGGCCTCTGAGTGCAATAATCCAGTTGTGGCCTCTTGGACTAGCTCTGTCCACGGCACCCATTACGGTGGGCGGGCTTCGACGAGACCCGTCCTTGCTGATGTGCTTGAAAGTGCTTCATCGGAACAACCGCTGCAAAACAGAGGGCAGTTTGTTTGGCTGTGGCATCGCCTCCATCAGAGCACTCCCACAGGTAACGCACCCAACACCCGACCTCAGAGCCTGCCACGTGCACTGGATACTGCCTGAGAGCATCAGGAGCAGGTCTTGGGCTTGTGACATACACATTCACCCTACAGATGCACACAGCTGAGAGGGAGAGGATAGTCTTGCATCTTAGGCAAGGACTGAGTGTCTAGGTTTCGGGCACAGCCTCAGGCTTGTTGTGCTGCATTTCTGATCATATGGGTAAATTTTGTTCAAGGCTCAAGCATTAATGCCCACCGTTCTGGCGTGGAAGATGCTGCAGAAGTGCAGGGTGTTGCGTCCACACAGCAAGGCTTGTCTACACAGGGAAAAGCCCCACAAGTTAGTACAGAACGAAGACCTATTCCACACTAACCCTTCATGTGGCCACTCCAGTTCTGCACTAAAAATGCCTTCACGTGGTTTAGTGGATTATAATGCTACAAAAACATTTACCGCAGAGTGCATCCACATGGGGAGTTACTGCAAAGAGCCACTATGCTTTACATCCACCCCTCCAGCCATTTTTCAGTGACTTCCCCATACAAACAAAGCAAAAGATACTGGTATTGGAGCTCTTCAGGGAAGCAAAGCAAAGGATGGCCAACTATGTATGTTCAACCACCTCGAAGAAAGAGTCAGGTCACAACCCTAACTTGCTTCTTGGCCAGCTGCTCTTTACTTATTTTTGCCCACTTTTTCAGTATGAGGTCAGTAGAGGCAGCATCATGAGAAGTGAGCATGCAGAGACATCACTCATGCAAGACTACAAGCATCCTTATCCTCTTAAGGCACCTCTGGGCCTTAGGCCCTTGTTTAGTTAGACACTTCAGGGCACAAACCAAAAGTCTCCTTGCTGCAGCCATTCTTGACAGTAATGGTTTGCTTTGCAAATTCATCTTTGCTGTAATTCCTTTAAGTCTGCAGGATGGAGGGTTGTCATGCTGACTCTTTACTCTGCAAGTCCAACTTCAAGGGACTGCTCACAGAACGAAGGTCCGGTCACTGAATGAGGACTGGAATCTGCCTCTCAACGTGGCAGCTCTTGAACTGATAACTGTGTTTTTCTCCCTAGGGCTCCATCAAGTTTCACTGCAAGAAATCTCCACTGCTACATGCGAATGTCAGTCCATATAACCAGGCCTACATCACCACTGGATTCAACCAAATTTTACTAGATCGAAAAAAACTGCTCACCACATAAGGCGGCGGCCTTTTTGTCACCTTAATTTATTGCACTTTTTCCTTCAAGGAAGGACTTCCTGCCAGCTGCCTCTTCCAAGTATTTCAGGCCGTCCTCCTTCGTTGCATGAGAAGGATCAATTTAAATGTATCTGCTGCTACCTCAGTCTTGCTTTTTTAGTGTACTACATTCCTAAAGGTGTAAAACTACATCTCTTCGGCGTTAGCCTGGATTTCTTCCTTTCTCTTATCAATAGTGGGAGATGTGTCAATACTAAGAAAACACTGAAGTATGGCTACAGAGAAAGAAAACCGAAAGTACCTTTCACTAGAATTATAATAAATATATACCTGAACAAATGGAAGTCTTTGATCTAACAAGCACTCTTTTAGCACAACTCAATACACAAGAGGCTGACAGTAAGGTTTTTTAAAAACCTGAAACTAATTCTCTGCTAGTTTTCCCCCTCCACCCCCAGCAACCCACCTTCCTCTGCAGCTAAATACAGTTGTTTTGCTCAGCCAACACTGAAGTTTAGCCATCCAGTAGCACTTCTGGCCATGAAAATGCAAGGAATTTTAATGGTTTTCATTACAACTAGATGTTAAGCGTAATGCTAGATACAGCTCTCAGGAAAAGTGGGGTTACTTCTTTGTCAGATAAAGATCTAAACGTATTTGTAACCAGATTTAAATGGCAGGGAAAAGAACAAAATATTTATTTGCCCAAAGTTAGGTGCAGTGCACTGAGTCAAGCCTTTTAAAAAACTATTAGGATGCTATTGCTTCCTTCTTCAGAAAGAGGCTCTTACTCTCTTCTTTTTTTTTCAAAAATATACAACTTTCATCATCCACGTGGTCAGTAGCACAGATGGCTTTTACCAGAGGATCCTTTGGACTGCCAAAGCAAAATGAATGTTTTTCCTCTCCTCTTTCACACGGGTCTGGGAAGTGTTTTGTGGGTTTGTGTACATGTCATTTTAATAAACAAGGCTCTTGCAGGTGTATTTGAGCTCTCTCCACAAGTGTGTATCCTTCAAGCATCTAATTAAACAGAGATCTGCTGCTTTGTTCATCAATTGAGAATAGATTTATTCTAATCCTTTTCTTTTTATTTTGAAGATGACAAGTCCTAGGTGTAACCACTACTGACAACAGAAAGTCGTAGGCAGAGAAAATGTCACAGAACAATTAAGGCTCCATTAGGATCTAGAAAGCATGTTCCTCTCTCAATTGCTACCCTCAAGTTAGAGGTCTCAAAGCTTACCATACAGTCCAACATGAGAAGCAAGAATTAAAAGTATTGACACTACTTGTTTAAATAGGCCAGCACTGCAGAAGGGACTTCCCAGGCTGCTTTATCACAGCATGGGGTAGCGCAGCATCTCTTCCACGATAGACACTCACAAGCAGGTACGTCCACTCCTGAAGAGGCGCTCACTCCGGAAGCATGTTCTCTTTCTCTGGAGGCTCGACGACTCTCAAACAGCAGTCCACAAACTCCACAAACAAGGGCTCTTGCATATACCTTTTCATTAGAGAATTCCTCTCTTCTGCTTGATCTACAGCTACGAGCAATTGCCTGAGATGCGGGTTCCTTAGTAAATCTTTCAATTCTTCCGATTCGCCTGTTTAAAAGAAACAAAACAAAAAAAGTGGCGGTCTTCACTCCCAGCAAAATACCTGAAGGCACGTAGACAACTGCCCAAGAACTTGGGTATTTGAAGGCTTTCATCAACCCTATTCTACTTCTATGAGACAGACATAGTTAACACATACATACATGCATACTTTCTTCCTCCCAACAATTTTTCTTTTTAAACAAAATTGTCCTTTTGAAGTTTCCAATTATAAGCCCATAGACCTTTTTAGACACAAGACAAAATGAGACAGGACAAATGTTTTTAACTATTTGACAAGGTAAACACAAGTGTTTTCAATCACATCACATCTAGCAGTGCTAATACCTGCGGGGCATCCCTCTGCACCTTTGAAAAGATCTTAGGACTTTAGTTGAGAATGACTGCCACAGACTCCTTTACTTTTATTCCTCACCATAAAGAATAAAAACCCACAGCAGTGGATCCAAACCATGGATGGCACCAGGTCGTGACTGCCTTTATATAGCATCTTTGATTCAAAGTTCAAATCAAGCTGCTGGTTGCCTGTGAAAAACAGGTGACATGGGTACTTTGGCCCCAAATGTTAATGCCTCTTCCCCTGTCAGGCAGTGGTATGATAAAACCTACATGGTTCCTTCTCCTGCTTCATTCACAGGAACTCCAAATTATTCTGAAGTTACTGTCTGTCCAGCATTGACAGCACACCCTGCTAACTTCACAAAAGCTTTCACATAGTCTCATAGCTTGCAGTGGATTTTAGTGACAAGATTACCTAAACGTTTGAGTTTCTGCAGTGGAACTCGGTCCTGCTCATCACTGTCCGTCAGGATGTCCTCTACAGACCAAGAGTTTCCTGTGGAAAGAAGAAGGATGGTTCAATTTAGTAAGATGGGAAGGTAAATTAGGTTGTGTCTGAAAGTCACAAGGGGCAAACGTTTCCCCCGCCCCAACTCCCATGAACACTGCTGCACATCAGGAAAACAGGTTTTGATCCATGCAGCAGGCCTCAGATACAAGTTTCTGGTGTTTCTGTGAGAAAATAAGAGCGGTGGCTCGTAGCTTCATCTACCCTGAGATGATGCCGGTCAGTCTGGTCTGAGAGCAGACATTAGCTAGTACAGCCTTGATGTTTTTTGATCCCATTGTACTTGCCAAAATATAGGGAATGTGCTGGAGGCATATAGGCCTGCTTTGAAAAGCCCAGGCAAGTAGGAGGACCCCAACTTTTACTCTTATCTATAACAATACACACTCACACACACATATATCTATAAATATGTGCGTGCATAAATATACATACACTATAAATATGCGCGTGCATAAATATATAAACACGCATAGATATACAAATACACGCGTGCATATATATACACATATAAATGCGCATAAATATACATACAAATACACGCGTGCATAAATATACATACACATATAAACGCATAAATATACACCAGACGAAGGGTTTTTGAACCCGAAAGCTTGCTTAATAACTATTCTCCAACCATTTGGGTTGGTCTAATAAAAGATATCAAATTCACCCAAGGAACCTTGTCTGCCTATGTCCTTAGACCAACACGGCTACAACCTAAACCCCTAAATATACACTAGAAATACACACGCATACACACACACACACGTATATTACTTCTCCAAAAGAGCAAGTGTTTAAAAAAATGCTGAAATTCCCCATGTCTTTCCTTTTTATCCCCACAATCGATCCCCTCCATCTCTCTCAACAGAGAAAGAGACGCCAAACACGTGCTCGTCTCAAATCGCCGACGCCTGCTGGTGGAGACTGCGTTTCCGCTGGCTGAAGGCCCCGGGAGGGCCGGGATGGCACCATGCGTGGGAGGGCAGACGAAGGCGTGGGCTGCCCCTTTCATTTTCCAGCAAGTCCCTGGCGTTTGAGTCCCCGAGGCCCACCCCGCGGATGCACCCACACCTGCAACCTCTTGCGGGGCACGGCCGTACCTGGGGTCCACACCGTCGCGGCGCCCGGCGGGTGGGAGGCGGGCGGGCTGTCGTGGCGGGCGGCGCATCGCTCTGCGGGGAATCCATGGTTAGCGGGAGGGTGAGCAGCAGCACCCCGGGAAACAATGACTCACGGGAGAGGCTGGGAGACCCGGGGGGAGGCTGAAGGGGGGAGCGGGACTGCTGCAGGCGACAGCTTGCGACGGGAGGAGGTGAGGAAAAACGGGCAGGGCGGCGAAGCGGACCCCAAAAGGTGCTGGCGGCGCATCGCTCTGCGGGGAATCCATGGTTAGCGGGAGGGTGAGCAGCAGCACCCCGGGAAACAATGACTCACGGGAGAGGCTGGGAGACCCGGGGGGAGGCTGAAGGGGGGAGCGGGACTGCTGCAGGCGACAGCTTGCGACGGGAGGAGGTGAGGAAAAACGGGCAGGGCGGCGAAGCGGACCCCAAAAGGTGCTGGGCTCCCTCAGGGGTGGCTGGAGGGTGCGCTGGACCCTTACCTTTGTGCTGCCTGCAGCAGGGCACGGAGCAGCTGCAACA